AAAAAAAAAAAAAAAGTTTAGTTTATAGCATTCTTGACCTTTCCAAGCTCCTTGTGTGAACCAGTCCCAAAGGCTTGTGAACCACACGCTCAGAGAGCATCACAGAAAGGACTTGGTAGTCTGTGTTAGTCATTTTCTTGTTGCATAGACGCTATACCCAATATGTGCAACTTAGAGGAGGAGGGGTTTTATTTTTGACTCTGAGCTTATAGAGGTTTCAGTCCATAGTTGACTGGCTGTAAGCCAGAAAAGGAATGGGGAAGGACCTACAGATGCTGGTCCTCTCACCTCATGGTAAACAGAAAGCTCACAAGTTCTAGAAGCGTTGGGAGCTAGCAAGACCCTGTCTCAATTTTATTTATTTATTTTTGATACCAAGAATCAAACTCAGGACTTTGAGCTTGTCAGGCAAGTGCTTATGACACTGAACTATCTCCCTGCCTTCAAAATATATTTTTAAAATTCTGGGTATTTAGCTCAGTGCAAAGGTCCTGGATTCAATTCCCAGTACTACACTAATTAATTCAAATTTTAAAATTCTGCTCTTTATCTATTAGCATTATATAGTTCCATTTAATACATATATTTTAAATATATATATAACCCTGTCACAATTTTTTTGTACAGTCTTTTATTTTTATTTTTTGGCAGAACTGGGGATTGAACTCAGGCCCTTGAGCTTGCCAAGGAAGTGCTTATTCTACTGAGCCATCTCCCCAGCCCATCTGTACAGTCTTAAAGTTTGTTGATACCATGTCTCCACATGGAGGAATATATATGATAAATATCAATCACAGGTGCCTTCCTGGCAGGCCAATGTCTTTAGGCAAGATGAATCCTTTTTTGTTTGTTTGTTTGTTTGTGTTGAGACAGGGTTTCACTATGGAAGTCAATCTGGTCTTGAAATCACTTATAGCCCAGGTTGGCCTTGAATTCACAACAACACTCTTGCTTCAGCCTCCTGAGTACTGGAATCACACCACACCCACCAAGCTGTCCAAATCCTGATTGCTATTGCTAGCACATTTATAACCAAATGTGCGATCACTCTGTTGGTCTTAGGATTAGCCCTGTTTTTTCTTGTCATGTTTCAGGTAGCGAGTGTGGGAGCCTGGAGTGGAGGGTGACAATGGCCACAGGGAAGCAAAGGGTGCTGGTGGCAATAGCGATGGTGTGAGTATCCAAAGCGCAGGGCTCTGGGAGTTCTCAGGCATCTGAGCTGGACACAGTGTGGGACTGCTTCCCAGGCATTTCTGAGCCAACTATCTGTGCGGTACAGCCGCCCTTCCTGTTGTGCTACTATTGCTCAACCTGCCTCTCATCTGGGGTCATTTTGCTTTTGATTTTTTCATGGTGAATAAACCAGTAAGTTCCAAAGTGATCTCTCTCTCCTAATGTACTGTAGTTCCTCCTGCCCTCTAACTGGCAAATGTTGGGATGCAGTAACGAAGTGTGGATTTTTGTGGAACCAGGGATTGAACTCGGGCCCTTGCGCTTGCCAGGCAAGTACTTCTACCCCGGCCCCATGAAGTGTGGAGCTTAGCTATTAAGAAGCGTTGGGCTGTGTACAGGTATGCTCTGGTAAAAACTGGGCAGGCTTAGCAACTAAATGGTACTGAAATGTTCCCATCCAGAAATAAGCTTGTTTTTCCCTTCTTCTCCCTCCAATTTGTCCCAGCAACTGCCAGAATAGTAGAGAAGAGATGGACAATTTATTCCACACCATCCAAGCTACAGGTAGAAACAAGGAAGAGGAGTGAAACCTTGGCCCCAAATCCTCCTTTCCTCATTTCTCACAACGATGAGATCCAACCTGACTAAAGGCTGTGGATGAGGATGGTGAGAGAGATTTAGATGAATCTAGGCAGCACTTGACGACAGAGATGGATCCTGCTGCTCAGGATCCAGGTTGGTAGAGGTCTGAGGTCGAACGCTGACTCACAAGTTCTCTCACTGAGCTGGAAATGGCGCACAGGACATGCCACCAAGGACACGATTCAGGGGCCTCCAGATACTTCTATAGCTGAAGTAGCAAAGGACCCCTGGGAAAGACGAGGTGGGAGAAGGGAAAGCGGAGAGCGCAATGAAGCGCGACAAGCAGGGTGAGACCAAGAAGGATATAAATCCCCAAGAACCTGACCCTTCCCTCCACACCTCCTCTGCCCTGCCCCACCCGCATCCCCTCCTTCCCCGGACTCTCCTGGCTACTCACCACACGTGACATATAGCAGAAATGCCAACCAACCAATGAGATAGCTCCAGCCAAGGGGAACGGATATATTCTTCTTCAACTCAAACGTCCAGAGGTTAACAGCGAACAGTAGGAGGGTAAAGAAAGTGAAGGTAGCTAGGCAACAGGGAGTGAAGTCTTTTTCTCACCCAAGAATCCCACAGGGGGCCCTTCCTTGTCTGCTGAGCTAAAACTACTAAGCCCAACTTCCATGGCCACAGAGCGTATGGCCTCAGAGTCTCATGGGAATCAACCTCTCCACCTTGAGCCCTCCAGTGACCAGGCAATGACATAATTCAACTCTCAAATCTCTTCTCCTAAAACCTCAAAACCCACATACCACCCTGAAAGAAGAGGAATAAGTGCCCTACGAAGACATGGATTAGGAAAACTAAGGACTTTCTTCAGAGCTGGGTCCAGGGGTACCTTCACAGAAGCTCAAAATGATCCCAATCAGGCAGAAAGAGTGCAATTTCTTCAGTTTGGGCAGGTAAGACAGATGCAACCAGATGGTGAGGATGAGGCCAAACTCCAGGGCCAGGCCACAGCTGATCTTGGTCACCCCAAACATGGGCTGATCTATCCACATTTTAGAAATGCCTGGAGAATATCACAAGAAGCATGAGTTCAAGATTCACAGAAGACCAGATATAATTAAATAGGTAAATGTGAGAAAATGTTTAGACTTGCTAATAACCAAAGAAATGTACATTTGGGGGCCGGGGAGATAGCTCAGTGGAATAAGTGCTTGCCTGGCAAGCACAAGGTCCTGAGTTCAATATGTATATTTAAGCACTTGGTAGGCTGAGGCAGAAGGATTGCAGCAAATTCAAGACCAGCCTGGGCTACCAAGGCCTGGAGTTGGATCCCCAGTTCCAAAAACAAAGAAGTCCATAAACAGCTGGGTGTGCCTTTCATCAGGTGTGAGGTATGGAGGCTGAGGCAGGAGGCTCTCAAATTGAGGCCAGCCCCGCCAACATAGACAAATCCTGTTTCAAAAATAAGCAACAAAGGCAGGCTGGGGAGATAGTTCAGTGGTATAAGCGCCTGCCTGGCAAGTGCAAGGTAGTGAGATCGATCCTTGGTACCACCAAAAAAAAAAAGGGGGGTCAGCATGGTGATACACTCTAGGAAGATGAGGCTGGGAGATCACAAATTTGAGCCAGCTTAAGCAACTGAGTGAGTGAGTGATACCCTGTCTCCAAATTTTAAAAAGGCTGTGGATGTAGATCAGTGGAAAGGCTGGGGAGATAGCTCAGTAGAATAAGCAAAGAGCCTGAGTTCAATCCCCAGTTCCACAAAAAAAAAGAAAGGCCTTGAGCTCATCCCCAGGTACCCTCCCCCAATCTAGAAATATATGAAGCTCTGCTTGAAGGATTGTAAATTACAGGTAGATTTTTTTTTTTTTTTTGCGGAACCGGGGATTGAACTCAGGTCCTTGAGCTTGCCAGGGAAGCGCTTATTCCACTGAGCCATCTGCCCAGCCCGATTTTATTTTTTAAAAATTACAGGTAAATTAAAAAACTACTGTATTAGTTTGAAATTCAAAATAGAATTAGGGAGCTGGCCAAATAGCTCAGTGGATTAAAATGCCTGCTTAGACAGATGCAGGGGCCAGGAGTTCCATCTCCAGGCCTGCCGTGCCGCCCCCGCCCCCAGGATGTGCTCAGATGGCAATTGAGACTGGACGTGGTGGTGCCCACCTATAATCCCAGCACTTGGGAGGCCAATCTATGCAGTAAGACCCTAGAGACCCTGGAGACCCTGTCCTAAAATACAAAAAAATAAAAAGAATTAACAATATCTAATAAAGGAGACCATTTGGGGAAAAAAAGCAGTACTTTCATATACCTCACCAGCATTTCTGGTGAGGGGTCTGGCACAAAATATCAAAAAGAAAAAAAAAATTATGCAGGTCTGTAATCCCAGAACTATGGAGGCTGAACACCAAGGTCCAAGGCCAGCCTGGGCTACATAGCAAGACCCTATGTCAAACAAAACAAAACACAAAAACCTAAGCTATTAATGTCCTTTGATCCATTCATGCTTCTTCTGGGAATTTGTGCTAAGAAAATAATAAGAGATTTGCACAAAAGTCTGGGTACAGGGATCTTTTTTGCCAATATACTAACATGTCCAACAAACTCATCAATTTGCAAGATATTTGTAAAATAAAATCTAGCATACCCATACACTAGATCTTCATATGTTCTTTAACAATCATAACATGGGCTCAGAATGTGTAGCTCAGCAGTAGAACACTTACCTGTGGGTAATTTAGATAGATATATAGGGCTGAGGGGACTAAATGCACCACTGGAATGGTCATGCTCTCTCCTGTGTGTGATTACATCTGTGAGGAATTTTAGGTGATTTTTATTTTCGTTCTTTCTTTCTTTCTTTT